TATAGTTATTATATAAATAATTAAAAAAAATAAAATAATTTTTTGAACATTTATTATTCTTTATAATATTTCAATGGATTATTCTACTTAAACCATTCTTTTACCTCCTTACACCTTCCATATAAGATTATTTTTTTCTTCCAAATCTATTCACGTGTGAAATTACTTAAAAGGATAAAATACTAAAATTAAATATATTTTATTATCTCCTTACACCTCTTGATTTTCAATCTCTACTTATGGTTTTTTCCTTTTTCAACTTTTCTTTTCTCTTACACATCGCTTTTGAAAAAGTGATAATCATAGTGTTTTGATCATCAAAAAAAAGTAATGGATGAAGAAACGGTGGTGAAAAACATCAAAAAAGTGAAATTGTGAATTTTTTTTTTCGTTTGGTAGGTTTTTGTTTCGATTTTCTAGGCTCGTCTACGACTTTTGTTCGGTGTTTCGAAATCGAACAAAATAACATAGTCCAGCATCACAGTGCCGAACAAAAAATATAAATCTGGTATCAAATTACCGAATAAAAGATACATTTCTAGTAATATAAAGCCAGATTTTTTAAATTTGTTCAGCTACTCATTGTCATGTATTTTCAGTATAATTTTTTTTTTTTTTGCTTGCTTGGAACAATTATACTTATACTTATTGCAACAATGCAAGTACTGCATTATTAGCGGACTCCAGTCATAAATTCATTATAGACGAGATTTGTTAATTTTTTTTATGAATACAATTTTTTCTTATTTTTAATTTGTATTGAGTTTTATTAATAATTTGACGTACAAATGTATTTATTATGTTTAGATTTTTAGTAGTCGTCAAGTATTAATTAAATGGGCTTCTAACGTTGGGAGGAAGGCTGGATTGTTAGAAAGAAATCAGATGCAGGAGGTAATAGCAAAAAACTAAGACTTACTTTTGCTTATGAAAGAAGTGGTTATTATAGAGACAACAGGAAGATCAAGGGGGAACAATTAAGGTTGACAGATTCTAAAAAATGTGGATGACCATCTCTATTAAGGGGGGAAAAATTACCTACAAATGATGAATGGATGTTGCATGTCTTATGCGGAGTGCACAATCATCCGTCTGCTGAACATCTTGAAGGGCACTCATTTGCTAATGGATTATCTAAGGAGGAAACATCCTTATTAGTTGACATGTCCAAGAGCATGGTGCGACTGAAAAAGATATTTGTTACATTGAAACAAAGGGATGCCTTTAATGCAACAACAATGAAGACAATCTACAACGCACGTCATCGACATCGAGTAGTACAGAGGGCGGGAAGATCACAGATGCAACAACTATTGGGAAAATTGTCGATTCAAAATTATGTTGAGTGGCATCGATGTGATGATAAAGAAAAGGTGACTGACTTGTTCTGGGCACACCCAGTTAGTTTGGAGTTGTTACGTACATTTCCACATGTGTTGATTATGGGTTGCACATACAAGACTAATAGGTATCGACTCCCTCTCTTAGAGATTGTTGAGGTAACATCAACGGACTTGACTTTTTCAGTTGCTTTTGCTTATCTTGGTTATGAACGGGAGGACAACTATACATGTGCTTTAGGCATATTGCGTATTGTTCTGGAGAATACTGTTTTTCCAAAAGTCATTATTACAGATAGGAGTTGGCTTTGATGAAAGGCATATCAAAAGTTCTACCTATGGCCACTAATCTTTTATGCAAGTGGCATATTTGCAAGAATGTTCTGATGAAGTGCAAGAAGGTTTTTTAGACGAAAGATAAATGGGATAAGTTCATGCATAGTTGGAGTGCTTTGGTATTGGTTAGAACAGAAACAGAATTCAATGAACAAATTTTCAATCTCAAGACTAAATTTAGTACGTATCCTGAAGCTATTAAGTATGTTACTACCAATTAGTTAGAGCCATACAAGGAAAAATTTGTTGCAACTTGGACAGACAGTAGCATGCATTTCGGAAATACTACTACAAACAGGTAAATTATGGTCATTGCATTTATGAATTACTATAATTCTTTGATTCTTGTATTAAATACCAAAATTTACAAACTTGTAGGGCGGAGAGTTCTCATGCTAAATTGAAGAGGCAACTTGGATCAAGTCAAGGCAATTTTGAGACATCTTGGACCAAAATACACAATTTGTTAGAGTTGCAGCATGCAGACATTAAAGCCTCATTTCAGCAGAGTTTGATTGTAGTCCAACACAACTACACACCTACTGAGTTCACTGAGTTACGTGGTTTTATTTCAATTTGTAGTTTGGACAAAATATTGGTAGAGTCAAAGAGATCGAATAGTGTGGAAATAAATATTGCTGCATGTGGCTGCATTTTTCGACATACACATGGGTTGCCATGTGCACATGAAATAGTTGAGTATTTTTAACAAGGTCGACCGATTCTCCTCTCGTGCGTAAATCCTCATTGAAGGAAGTTAGATATGCTTCCAGTTTCAGAAAGTGCTTTTGTGGAGTTGGATTGCAAAACAAAGACTGATTTTTTTATTAAGCAATTCCAAACGATTGACCAGACGCAACAAGTGATCCTTCTGAAGAAGTTGAGGGAGTTTATTAGTCCAGACAGTACATTTTTTATGGAACCTGAACTCAAGACTGACACGCGAGAGAGCGGCCAAGGTCACAGCTGTGGTCAATTCAAAATCGATACGTCTACTAAACGCGAGCCATCTGCGTTTGAGTTTGTACTATCTAGGGAAGATAGCTATTCACAGGATGTTACCATCTCAATTGCATCAATTTGTATGCAAGTGCAACGGGAAAAGGCAAAAAAAGATAATGTATGTAATTACATAAAACTTGTAACTATGTACAAAATATATTTTAATAGTTTTTCAGCCTCATTTTAATTATTTCATATATCCATTGTTGTATATTTGTGATGTAGGTTTGTATGACGCAGTCAACAAATCATCTCTTACTTCGAACAATTTCCGGAGAAGTTGAGACTATATATCCGTCACATAAAAGATGTACAAGCATATAGCAATTGTGGTTTCAGGGCAATAGTTGGATTGATTGGTTTAGGTGAAGATGATTAGCAACAAGTTAGGCGCAACTTGTTGACTGAGTTGCATTCAAATGTAGTGCACTACGTGCAACTATTTGGTTCACAAGAAAAGATTGATGAACTTAACTCTATCTTATCCTACTTCGAACCTAGCCCTGGATTTAATCATTAGATGACTATGTCCGACATGGGCCATTTGATAGCATCATACTACCGAGTCATTCTTTACCATTTATCCATGTAACAATGCTTGACGTTTTTACCACTTAGATCAGTACCGATTGCAACACCTAATCGAAGAGATATCTGCATAAAATTTGTAAATGGAAACCATTTCGTGCAGGTAACTACCGAGCCTACTTACATCATTACCATGTCTTATTTTGTAATTATATTTATTGATTTCTCTGTTATAGGTTTATTTGCAACCTGGTCATCCAGTAACTCTTATAGCAAATAATTGGATTCGTTTCATCACCTGTGTGCTAGTGGATGAGAGAAAGCATATACTCTCCGTATTCATCAATTTCGTACTCTTATTAGCCTTGATGTTGAACACGTGGATCAAACTGAGAGTGATGCGTAGGATTTTGAATAACCCAGTGTGAAACACGAGCATACCACTCACGGCATCCCCGTACACATTCAGATGGGCGCTACTGTACAGGCACACTATGAGCGTTAATGGACAACACATGATTCTCCCATTGTGCCCATATCGTATCATGGTATTGATACATGATTCTGTACTATCTTGGTTTACTGCCTCGTATCGCTCGAACAGGAGATAATGGTGCTGGTGGGATGGTTTGGACCCTACCAAACTGTTGCAAAACCCTATTGGGGTGACAGGGTTCAACAATATCAAAACATTTCAAACATCGAGTATAATATGCAACCTCATGAAGTGGATGGTGTGTCCTACATAAACGGTATGGATCCCACTCGATCTACAAATAGGTCATGCATAATGTTAGTTATGAAATCTTTTTTTTTTTTTTTTTTTTTTACAATATGACACTATTATAAAATGTCTAACCTCAGCACGTAACATGTCAAGCGGCTCTCGTAATGTCTGCAAGTGGTTTTCTGTAAAACCTTCATCTCTCCGCGAACTCCAACAACATACACGAGGTTGTTCATCAGAATAGGACAAATTTGGATGAGGCCTTCCTAAACGAAAATGCTCATAAATCCATGCTTCCAATAGCTTCAAGAAACCAGCAATCTGCTTAACACCAGCCCTACTAGTAAGTCCTAATTGTTTATATAGGAATGCCAAAGCTGCAGCACCCCATGCATATGAGCTAACAGCATCAATGTTAGTCAACATGTGCAGGTAAACAACAGGTACTCGAGTCCCACTCTTGTCAGCGAAGATGGTACAACCTAATAAATATAGCAAGTAAGCTCTCGCTGCGTATTCTATGAAATTTGCATCATCTGTATCGTTAACTTCATGAAATCTAATTCGCAACCACTCTAACTTCACAGATTGCCCACGAGATTGAACTAATTCTACAAATGCATCATTCACTGGCACTCCCAAAATAACACTCACCAGTTCAGCAGCCTCGTATCTTGTTAACTTAGGACATGACAAAGCCATGCCAGTGACTGGAATGCCAAGTATGGTCCACACATCATCCAATGTGACAGTCATCTCACCATCTGGCATGTGAAATGTATTTGTCTCTGGACGTCACCTTTCAACAAAGGCAGATATTGTCACTCTATTGTCATGCCGATATGTGTGATCAATAAGGATACTAAGACCAGACTGCTCAACCAAATGTCTCCACCTAACATTTTCGACTGTTAGTGACATCCATGGCCACTCAGCAAGCTTTCGAGAACGATTCAAACATTTAAGAGGTCCCCGTTCCTGCATTTTACATAAAACATATAAAAAAATTTGAAGCATATAGTACATATGATTAGTTTATTGTTGAGAAATTCACAAAATACCTTTTTCTTCCAAACAGTGGCAGCAACATGGTTGTGGAAGCTAATTAGCAATGAAGGATCCTCTAGAGCACCGGGAATTAGTTCTGTGTTGTCATCATCCACACCAACATCATCCTCCATGAGGTCAGTTTCTACACCTATATCATTATCTACATTGTCATCCTCCACACCAATATTGTCATCAACATAACCATTATTCACATCCACATGGCCATCCTCCTCCACAGGGACATTCACTTCCACTGGTTCAAGTTCTGTTTGCCTAGCACGTCTTCTATTGGATGCCTTTGGTCTCTTACGTGAGACACCACTAACTAATTCTGTGTAAAAAAAAAAAAAACATTAAACTCAATATCAGCAAAAACTTGAATACATTAAATGACTGATGTAAACAATATCAGCAAAGAAACCATAATTTCATAGATAACATTCAATTTAAAGAAAAAAATTTGAATGTGCAAATGTATAGAAAAGGAAAAAAAATTCAAATTATAATGCAAGTATGCATTTTATAATTTTAATGTGCCTACATTGTTCTATTTTAAGTTTCTAATTTTTCCTGTTTATTTTTAATTTTTAAATGTTAACATTGTATTGTATCTTAAAGCTCACAATCTATTCTTCTTGGGATACCTAGCCTTTGGATGTTAAAGCTCACAAGAAAATTGACACACTTGTGTAATAATATTCAGATAATTTGAAAAGAGCATTCAAACTAAGAAACAAGCAAGTGTTAGGATTCAAAAATGTATCTCAAGTTCCTCAAATTGTGGGGCATTGTGACTTTGGAATCCATGGTTTCTTAGTTGGTGTGGAGAAAAAAGGAGCCATTATGGCTTCTTGTTATGGAAATGATGGAAATAGATTGGAAAAATCAAAAGAAACCCCAACAGCATTATTCCTCAAACCCTCAAATTTCCAGTAGAGATGAATCTCCTTGCTTCAGTCATTTATGAACATGTCTATGAAATATAGATATAAACACACAAATATGACAAAGCAATGAGAAAATCTCTGCTACTCAATCCTAAATATGAGTTTTATGGAAGAAGAGGTAACGGAGCATACATCTTTTTGCTGCATAACATTAAGTTGTATTATCATCTTGATGGTTTGTTGAGTAGAACGTGTGTGTATATGTATAAATGTGAATGATAAAAAATATTATCATCTTGATGATTTGTTGAGTATAATATGTTTGTATATTACAGTTCCATATATAAATAGCTTTATTGTATTAAGTAGCTTGCCTTGTTGATCAAAGTTACACATTTCAAAGGATTGCTTGGATATGATGGAGAAATTGTTGACCAAACATCTCATCTAAAATCTTAAGTTATTAGAGAAAATCTAAGACTTAAAAGAAAATCTAAAATCTTATGTTAAGACAAAGTTTATTTACATCCTCAACACATCCCCTTTACATGTGCTTGGTTGATGCACCGATGTCTGAGAAATTGTTGACCACCATCTCATATGTTAGAGAAAAATGTGTAACATTATTATTTATATCCCCAACAATGTACATTGATGTTAGTTTTCTCTTTGGGTTTCTGACAGGCCTATACCTTAGACTTGGAAACAGAAGTTGCAAAACTTAAAGAACTTAATGAAGGGTTGCAAAAAAAAACAAGTATATTACTATTTGCTGCCAAAAGTTGTGTGCTTTTGAAATTGTAGATTATTTAAAAAAGAAATTTAAGGTCAAATATTTGTTGCTGTATTATTGTTGCCGTAGAAAGAAATTATGGAGATGCAAAAAAATCAAGTACATACCTTTACTATAGAAGTTGCCTTGGATTTTAAACCAAGAAATTATAATAGTTGTTCTGAAACAATATTGCCCCACCAAAAAAGACAATTTAAAATAAAAGGTAAAAAAATGAATAGCTTTGGCTAGAATCTTCACAGCATACAAGCATAGAAGCTTGAGTTTTTCCATCATGCAAAGACTTCTTGATGAAAACAGTTCTTGTTTTTTATAAAATGAATAAATTTTATTTGCATTTGGTTTTCCCCTATTTTTAATTTATCCCCACAAATGGCTACTTAGAATTATACGTCCAATAAATGAAATTTATCAATTAATTGGGATCATCTTGGTATGGCTAGTAAATGTAGAACATGGACTATGAGATCAAGAAACCATAATTGGATTGATAAAGGTTAAATTAACAGAGTGCTCCTTGTATATGTAGAACTCTGCTGGAATTTTAAATTCATTTGACAAGTAATGTATTTTTGTTTTGTTTCTCCAGATATTGGAGACAATGGATATGCCCTGGGGAAGTAAAAGATGATATATACTCGAGGAAAACGTTGACAGGTCCCTGGTAGAGTAGCGAGAATTGAATCAAGTTGCGAATTGCTTCTGACTTACTCTCAATTTTATATCCAGCCAATATATTTATGAAAACCAAGAACCCACAAAACTCTAACCCAGAAATTCAATTTTTTTCCACAACTATTGACAACTTTCTATGGCAGCTATTCACCCACAGAACTCCAACCCTCTCCACTTTGGCAACCAAGCAACAAAAATAAAAATTAAAAAAAAGTGACGATGGGCAAAACAGAGGACCAAAAATCTGATAAAACATAGAACCAAAATTTGAACTGCAACATTTAAAACTAGCACCAAAAATCACAAACCCAATTAAATTCCAAGATCAAAACCACCAAAGGTATGTTGGGAATGTGCTATTCTTTGTCTATTCGCAAAAAATGATGACATAGATGATATACATATATATATAGATACACATATCTATGTTTATCAATAGAAAGAGAGAAAGAAGAGTTTTTTCACTTGCCTTTGGCGAATGAGAAAAGTGAGTTCAATCGTCCACGCCGTCCGAACGCCTCCACGCTGGTGTTGTCTACTCTTCTTCCCTGTGTCATTCTCTTTGCGTCGTTCTCTTTTCCTTCTTTTCCCTCTAAAAGTATGGGTGTAAAGAGATGGGTTTTAAAGAGTTTTTTACCATAGGGTTTGTTTTGGTAATATATCAGGTGTAATGATAATTCAATTTTTTTTTTAAGTGGTGTAATGAGATGGAGGGTGTAAAGAGGTAAAAGAGTGGTGTAAGTAGAATCACCCTATTCCAATCAAACATTGTATTCAGTAGGATAGTCATTTCCAAAAGGGATAGTTACATTTTACCCCTTATGGTTTCACGCGTTTTAACATTACTTACCTAACGTTGATAAATGTACTCATAAACTCCCTGTGGTTTTGACTAAAATGCAAAAGTGACGGGACATGACAAAATTATAGAAAAGACTAGAATACCCTTATTTTTTTCTTCAATTTTCTTATGAATGTCATTTTACTTCCATTTTTTTAACAGTTGAACTCCCTCTATGAACTCTCTCTCTCTCTCTCTCTGTGTGTGTTTGTGTGTATCTATATATATTATAGATATGAAATATCTTTCCTCATCAATGCCTTTCGTCAGCAAGTCCTTGGTTGAACCCAACTCAAGGTCTGGTTCATGTCCATTGTTGGCATCTGGGTCTATCACTGAATTGGTGACTTGTTGATCAGTTTTCCTAGTGCCCAAACAATTGGGTTTCTTCCAATTGGTGACTTGGTGAGTCTTCTCTTCCACCACAACAAATAGTAAAGCTCTGCAACAAGGGCAAAGAGGATGCACCTAAAAAAATAAAAAATAAAATAAAAATAATAATCTTGGTTCAAATCTGCTAAAGAATCTCCAAAAACCAATCAACACTAAACTAAAACTCAAAGTGACAATCAAACAAACAAGTCATGAACAATCTCATTGTTTGTTATGAAAAACAGAGACCTAAAGCTCCAAGAATCAAAAGAACCATAGAAATAGAGAATCAAAGGTTTGTTTTAAGAGAAACTGCTATGATACCAATTTTCTGAGAAAATCCATGAGGACCCTCTTTCTTGAACCCACCTCATGTTAGGGATCCGAGATCCCGCCCTATACCTTCCAAAAATCATACTAAGCAGAAAAACATACTCACACCCAAGGAGACAATATTCAACGTGGTTCGGCCTTAATGCCTACGTCCACGGGAGAATAACCGGTTATCACTATAACAATGGAAAGATTATAGAAAGATTACAATAGAGGAGGAGCTCACACCATCCTCACTCACCCACTCACCCACTTACCCATCTCCCTCTCTTACGCCGAGAGAGACGGTCTTTTTGCCTCACATCTCTCACTCTCTCTTGGTTTGCTCTCTCCAAACTCTTCCCTCAGCCTCTCCATTTATGAAGGAAGCTAAAGAGCCTGGCTAGCCTTGCACATGGCCAGCTGTTCTTTCACTTTCGGTGGCAGTCCATATTTACAACTTATCGGTTGTCAAGGTAAGTAGCCATCTTTCCTTGACTACTTCAATTCACACATGTTGCAGAAACCCAACACCTCAAAGTAAAAAGAAAATGGCTAAAAGATTCAAATTTAGTAGAAAAATCACAAAAACCAGAAAGACCCACCTCTTAAATTCTTCCTATGATCTAACACTCATTTGATAAAAAAATCACACAACCCAGAATAACCCACTTCTCTACATCACACTACGGAGAGACCCAAAAGTCATGAGTCCTCTATATAAAGGGCTTTTGTTGCCTAAAACATGTGCCACATTTTTCAGTGCAGACACATTTTTCTGGCACGTCTACTGCACCCAGTCTACCAGATTTCCTCACTTTTGTAC